AAGAATCATTTGCTCATCAAAAGGAAAAGTAAAAAAAATCTCAAAAACCCCAAAACCCCAAAACCCCGTTAGGTCAAATTTATTACACATTATTTAAAGTGTGAAATATTAAAATGGAACACAAAACAAAATTCAAAAATGGTTCAAACTAAAATGAATAGAATGATAATAAAAAAAGTTTGGAGCTAGAGGACTTTAATGAAAAACTTATCAATGAAGATATGAAGATCATAAATACAAATGTAATAAGATATGGTAAGGAAGTAAGAGTCCTCGAGCCATAGCAAATTATTGATATGATACCATTCGGGAGATATTAAATCTTCTTGGCTGCTCTTTATTTTTTCAATTTCATAACAAACTCGTTCCTCTGTTATAACTATTCATATTTGCTAATCTTGCCTCAATACAAATGCCTTAATTAAACGACTAAATTATTTGAGGATTGTGAGAATGAATTTGTTTGCTAGACATTAAATTAGGAATAGAGAGGAGAGCTCTGGTATGTGGACTACCAGGACATTTTAAGCATGAATAATTGGATTGATAGGCTTTCAATGCATTGCAGTGAAGGATACTTGATAGGGCTTTTTGGATCAATGGAATTCATAGGAGCAGCCATTGCTGCTTTGATATTCCCACCTATAGCAGATACTTATGGAGGAAAGTACTTCTCATACACAGCAATGTGGTTGACTGTTTTAGTGATGCTGACACTAATGATAGTTAAAAACCACTATATCTATTATGCCGCTTTGACTTTAAATGGAGTATGCATAGGTTTGAAGTAGTTTATTTTCTACACCCACATAATGGAATTTATGGGACCTAAGACAAATTTTATCAGTGGATTTTCCTTCTTCTTTGATGGAGGAGTCTTTACTGTATCGCCTCTCATATTATACTTTATTACTAGGAATACCTAAACTTTTGTATACATCGGACTAGCATTAAGTGTTATCACTATTTTTTTCTCGCATACTTTTCTTAAGATTCCAGAATCAATCAAGTTTAATCTGATCAAGGGTAACTTTGCAGAATTAAATGAGGATATTAGAAATATAATGAATTTCAACAATACACCTGAGGATGTGCAAAGAGATGTAATGCTAAAACTCAAAGCATATGAAGATTAAGAAATAGCAGCTAAATAAAAATAGATTACTAGCATTCGAAGCTAGCTTGTCTTAGGCACTCAAGTTAAAATTAACAAAAACAATTAGAGTCTATTTTAAGTGCTGATTAACACAAAAGATGCAGTTTATAATTTGGTAATGATTAATTTCGGCTGGATCACTGCTACTTTTGTTTTCTTTTTGCTTGACTTTTTTGTTAAGTATTTACCTGGTAACATATATGTAAATCAGCTAGTAGCATCGATGTCAATGTTTGGCTATCTTATTTCTGATCCTGTTGCTGCAGTTTTTAATAATAGAATCAGTTTGCTTATTAGTTTTGTAATAAGCTTAGGTGCAGTAATGATTATGACTGCTGTTCACAACTTAAATGAGTATGTATTTGCTTTTGTGTTTCTGATCTTAAAAGGTGCCCTATGCATGAGCTTTAGCGCTTTATACGCGATTCACAATGATTTATTTCCAACTTAACTTTTGTCTTCAAGTTACGGTATTTGTAATTTTGTTTGTAGATTATGTACATTGCTTGCCCCTTTATTAGCAGAAGTGCATAACAGACTAATACCTATGTATGTGATGATAATTTAATGTGTCGCTGCGATTATAAGCACGATAATAATTAAGGTTACCTATTCTAAGAAATTGAAATGATATATTGTATTTAGATAAATTTTCTATTTATGGCTTTTATTAAAATCCAAATTTAATGAGATTTGACAATATTTTCTTGTGGGGTTTTGGAATTATAAGATGAAGTAAAAAACATATTAAAAATGATTTAATTATAAGTTCAGATTAAAAGTTTGAAATAATATATATAAATATTTCATTATTTGACTTAGTCAATCACAAAACAATTTCAGCTTTAAATGAACAAATTTGATTACATTATAGAGTTTACTGACATTCAGAAATAATATACAATCAATCTAATAAAGAACTGCTAGATTGAGGCAGACGAGCTCAATATCGTTTAAGAGGTGCTAATAAATAAAGTTTTAGACTATGTAATTCAGACAGTGGGAGTTCAAGAATCTGTCTAATTAATTTAAAATAAGTATTCCAATAACTAAGATATATGCCAAGGTTCCTATTCTCTATTTCTAAACATTGACAAATATGTTCAAAATTCAAATGAACAACATGATCTTATTTCTTGTTTAGTAAAATATCAGACTCTTATCAAGGAATAATTAGATATTGCATTAGCATAATTCAAACAATTCGAAGATAGGTTACGCAATTTAGGTTCTAAACTTAGAGCACCTAATCAATTATAAAACTTCAGTGATTCCTTAGGGGATCTCAAACAAGTTTAGAGGAAGGTTATGAAATTTAATTGCAAATTTGATTATGTTTACAAGATAATTCAGAATAAAGAAATCAAGCTAGATGAAATGAGAATACAAGATTTCAAATAAAATATCATTTCCCAAAGCTAAAAACTAACCTATGTGCTTTAATAATTGACAATTTATTCAATAGATCACAATTACTTGAAAATATTTTAGGATCTGGGTTTCAATTAAAAATATTACAAGCTGCGATCTCTTACAAGCCTTACAATATAAGAACTATTAGAGGAACTTGGTGAGTTGCTATATCTCATTTGCACAATTACAGAGAGCATACTAATTTAATTATTTGAGAAATCAAATAGTTCGGACATAAATATAGATTCAAAGTCAGGACATGACGGAAGAAATAAAAATAGTCTAATTTTTGCTACAATTCCAGAATAAGAAAATGAGGTCTCTGAAAAATCTGATAAGAATATAAATAAGCGCCTCATTGTAGAATAAAGTGTGATCACAATAAAAAGTGAAGAGTAAATTAGTGAATTGGATAGAGATTATTAAATAGGCACATTTAGGTGTATTAATCAAGATGCCTAAGATCAATGTATAATTGCCTCTCAAGACTTCAAAATATATATAGGTAATAACTATAATTAACTAGAAATATATGACAAGGACTTTGTTCCATTAGTAAATTTAAATCTTGAGGATAATGCTATCTGTGGTTTTGCACATGATAATTATGTTCTATTTGGTTTGGAAAATTCCAAGGTAATCTTGGTTGATAATTAAACTCAAAAAATTATTAAAACAATAGCTTCCATAGAATAGATCAATAAGATAATATTATTAGAAGGAAACATCTATATATTTTTTGGAGCCAATGGTAGTATTTAGCTCTTTGACCTTTAAACTCTATGCATATTTTCTTTCTATAGACATTCTATACATAGTAATATAAATTGTGCTCAATATTAAGATGGAGAATTGCTGCTTGCAATCTAAGATTGTGGGTTAAGGTCTGTTAATATAGTTAAAAGTTAGAAAGTAATATATTTCTAAGAAAACTCTGAAAACACATTGCTAGGGGATTCTAACATTAAGTGTTTTGCCATCATTTCTAGTGATTAACTACTGATTAACCTGGAAAATAATGATAGTATCTAAGTATTAGATAGGAAATTAGGCATGATAATAAAGTCCATTAAGAATCTAAATGCTGGAAGTATGATTCTAAGCATTTAGCTCATCTAAAATTATGATTACAAGAAAAGACATTTCGCTATTATTAAAGACTCTCAATCAGTGAGTGTTTTGAACACTTTAACGTTAGAAATACATAAACTAAGTGAAATTAATCTTAGCATTGATGAAAGACTCAGTAGTATGTGCTAGTTAGAAAGAAATGATAGGCTCATTATTTTCAGTTTAGGCTACCAAAATAACCAAAGAATAATTCAGTCTCTCATTTTCTCACTAAGTCAGTCATAATAAAGTTAAATTATGTGATTCATTAATTGCTAGTTCTATTTTAAATATTAAAATAATTAGTAAATGCTTATTTCATTAATTTTTCAGTGATTCCTCTTAAATTTAACTCATCTTCTTTATGAGGGGTTTTGGGGTTTTGGGG